CTTACCGGGCCTCTGGTTTTTGGAGAGCAGCAATGGTCGCGCCGCCCTCGACTCACGGGGCTGCCTTCCATCCGCCGATGCTCAGGCCGGGGGAGGGGGGGAGACCTCCTGTTCCTCGCGGAACGGGAGCAGGCCCCTCCTTGCCCGGTCTGCGAAGCAGGGCGGTGGTCGTGCCATCTTGGCTTCACAATGAGCACGCCGCAATCGTCGCCGGCGCGCGACACGTTTCCGTTGGCGGGACTGTCCTGGTCGAGAGTGTGTGCCGCTGAGGCGGGACCACTCGGGGACAGTGCTGACGGGACGCGGCTCGAAGGGCGTGGCTCCGCAGCGCGGCTGGCACTCGTCGCAGAGGCCTCACCTTCGAAAAGTCGGGCATGGCTCCACCCGCAACTTTGTCGCTAACACGCGCGCACCGCCGAGCCTGCGGCGGGCGCGCTGCGGCCGCACGTCTACTTCGTCATAGTGCCACGACGTGCGGCCTAGATTTAGCCCACGCGCCTCTGCTCGCAAACACTCACCCATTGAATTGTCACTGCCCGTGAGTGCGAGATAGGGCTAGCCGCAGGCAGCTAGCCCGTGAGGAGCGCGTCCATAGACACCTCACTAGACCCCACATACGGTCTCGTCCGTGCCTTGCCGGCCGGTGAGATTGCTAGAGGTGGAGCAGACTGCTCTAGCCTCACATATCACTTCCTGTCGTCTGTTGTTTGAGTTGTGCCCTTGTTTGTGCCCTTGGCACCGTGGCGTGCTGGGGGGGGCGACAGGGAGGATGTGGCCCTGAGTTATGTGTACGCCGACTCAGGGTGTGTGGCAGCCAGCTGGCTGTGTGTCTTGTGAGCTTGTTTGTGTCTGTGTGTCGCTCGTGCGTGTCGTCATCATCTGTCTAGCGTCCACCCATACCGCGTTGGTGTCCAGTCCGAGCCTGGCTGTTCTTCACCTTACTACCTACCTACCTACCTGCAATGCAAACTCTTTTTACCGCCTTCAAGTACACCCCAAAGCGGAGAAGAATTCCAGCCAGCATCGCGGAGGAGCCCTGAGTGGCGATGTCGGGTGAGAGTGTACGTCATGCTCGTGTCTGGTGTTAGAGAGAGAGAGATTGTCTGGTGTTTACTAGCTCCGAGTAGAGGGGGCGTTCCGCCGCTAGGGGACACCCAAAGCGCAGAACTAACCCTCGGAGACTGCTCGTTCTCAGGGTGGCACATCCCCGTTCACACCTACACACGGGTAATCAACCCCGCTCCCCCATGAACAGGAATCGCCGAACTTGAACGGCGGGCGCTTGACGAACCAGGGGGAACGGGCGTGGCAACCACAACCACGTCGGGCGTGCTTGTGGCAACTCATGATCGAACCAGCGACTCATAGAGTCGAACCACGACGCTAGTCGAACGGGACCACGGCGAACGTGGTTGTGGCAACCACCCACGGCGGACGTGGTTGTGGTAGGTCATGATAAAACCGGAAAGGAATAAAGAAGCCACCCCCACGACTGAAAAGTCTTAATGGACCTGTCCTAGACTCTGTGGCGGAAGTAGCGTGTGCGTCGAAGCCACAAGAGGGCTGGCATAGCCCGAGAATTAGTCAAGAGGGGGGGTTGGCGTAATTTTAGTTTTCCTTGAACAGTTGATGGGACTGTGAAACGATCGCCGCAAGGGGCGTGAACGCACAAGTGCGTAATGACCGCAAGTGGTCGTGAACACCCCAAGGTGAAAGTACATACTCCATTTATCCACAGATACCATACCAGCAAAGTAACCGAATCCAACTCCACGTGCCCAAGCGCACACCGGCCGGAGCGCCACCGGGGGGTGCCGCCCTCCCGTTCATGAGCCCAACAACACGAACGCTATCCATCCTCACCGGCCCCCATCCCCGTGGTCGGCCTCGCTCGCCGCGCCAAGCCGCGGTCCGGTCGTCCGTCCGGCGGCCAAGGGCGGGGAGGCGGCCACCCGCGCTCGCGCAGGGAGACCTGTGTTTACTTTACGGCCCTTTCCCTGCGAACGCGCACCCCCCCAGGGCTAGGCCTAGGGCTCTCTAGCCCGTAACCCGAGCCGATCATCCAGCCCGCTGGGTGCGCTTCTTAGCTCCCCGGCCCTGGATGTGAGGTTACTGACTGCACTCCAAGTGCTCCAAGTGCCCCAAAACTTCCTCGCACGACACTGGGCACGGGACTGGCGCGCACTGGCACTAACACAGGAGAAGAAAATACCTATAACGCTGTGCGGAGGTCTGTGAGAGGTTGAGAGCGACGCGACAGAGGAGGAAGCGACAAGAGGGAGAACGACGAGAGTGGGACGACCGCGAGGTGGCATGAAGGTTGCAGCGAGAATCGGCGAGGGACTGCGAAGAGAGATAGAAAGAGGCAGACAGACACCCAAGGGCAGGGGGCCTCTCAGTTCACGCCGGAATCGTGAACCGTGAACCGTGAACCAACTAGCCCCCGCCCCGAGTCCGTGAACCCCGAACCGTGATAGGTCCGTGAACCGACTAGCCCCCACCCCGAGTCCATGAACCGTGATCCGTGAACCGACTCCTCCCGCGACACCCGCCGCGAACCGTGAACCGTGAACGAACCGAGTCTAACCGCAGCTTTGCGCCACTCTCTTCGCCGCACCGCAATTGCCAGAACTCGCTGCGGCTGTCACCAGCACCCTCCACTTCCGATGAGAGGCAGAGCGCCGGGCTCACCCTCGCAATCCACGGGAAGTGGTCGGCGCTGGCGCGGCGGTCGGCGGCGTATTTGCGCAGGATGGCCTCGGACAGAGGCGAGGGTGGGATGGTAGTGGGTGCGGATGCGGCGAGGCGAGGCGAGCGGCGCACGGCTACCCGCTGGGGAAGCAGCCGCCGCATCGCCACGGCGAAGAGCGGGTCCTTGAAGCGCGCCAGGCCGCTGCGCAGGGCGAGGAGGCCGAGGCGCGGCGACGCGAGGCTGAAGACAGCGCAGTCGGAGAAGTCGTCGACGCCCTCGAGGATGCGAAGCTGCAGCTCCGGGGGCAGCTCGGCCAGCCAGTCCGTGGGCGGGGCGTCGTCGTCGGTGCGTGCACGAGGAGCGCGACATTGAGGAGCGGCGCACGCTCGCTCCGCAACGTCACCGTGGTGCACGCACCCCACGTGCGTGCGCAGATGCTCTCCAATGACGCCGCTGCGGTTGCACGGCGCGTGCTTCTCGGGCAGGAGCCCCACGGCATTCAAAGTGCAAGCACCGGCCCGGTGCCGTGGGTGAGCAACCTGCACCCCACTCCCTCCCTCCCAGACACAGGACCCACACACAACCCCCACAGCGTGGACGACTGCGTTCAGAAACACCAAGCAGCGAGGCGCGAGGGTGAAGGGGTGGGGCAGAATCTACATCTGACTACTCCATCTAGCCTTGGGGGTCGGAGGAGGGGGGGAGAAGGGGTAAGATATGGGTGAGGCCAGCTAGTCGGACACCCTCCCTCCCGTCGTCGGAATACTGCTCGGAGCGGTCGGCGTCCTCGTGGCTCGTCGTCGTCCTCGCCCGACGCGGAGGTCGGGCGAGAGGTCCGCATCGTCTCGCCAGCCTTGAACCTGAACACGGCGTCGGCCGGCGCCGAGGCGCCGGCGGCCGTCATCAGGTGCATCACTATGCGGTCGCGGTATGCCGCATCGATCTCTCCGTGCTCGGCCAGCTCGTTCGCGAGCCAGTCCGAGGACGGTCGTCGCCACGGTCCCCTGGGGAACCGAGCGAGCCGGCCTTTCCGGCTTTGCGCTTTCGACCTCAGCTCGTCGTCCTCAACCACAGCGTACAGCTTGCCTTCTTCCGCTTTCGTTCTTTCTCTCACACGCTGCCGGGACACACAGAAACTTGCGGGTTGCGGAAGGCGAGTCAGTATGGAGTAAGTAAGTCAAAGTGTGCGACCGCGCGGCCGGCGGCGCGCGCTCTCTCGCCTCGGACTCCGCACGCCGGGGCGGAGACGCGCAAACGAGCGGTGGTCTCTGTGTGCCACACACCAGTCAGCGCACGCCGTCTGCTGCACCCCTCGCTCAGAGCACAGTACGATCGTGCACTGCCCTTTCCTCTCGGCAAAGAGATGCGCGAGCCAACGACACGGCGAAGAGCGCCAAACCGGAACGCAACGTGCCAAGCCATGGTAAACCCGAGAACTGTCGCAACGCTTGCTTCAAACCACCGGAGGGACCGAGCGGGCGGGCCCAACGATCTCGAACGGCTCCGATCCGCCGCAAGCGGCGGGAGAGGGGGTGGTGAAGATCGAGCGACCAACGCCTTGCTTTGCAGAAAGCTCCGTTGATGGCTCCAGAGGACGCTTCGTCCCCGCCGCCGGGGTGGAGGCGAGGCCATCTGGCGGCGAGCGGGCAGCACTGGGGATGAGCGTCGGCGGGTTCGAGCGCTCGGACGCAGGCGGGTCCTTGCTGGCTGGCGTGCACGGTTCGACTGCAGCCGGCGCCTCAGGCTCGGCCCGGCGGATGGGGAGCGGGGAATCGCCGATGCGGGGCGTGCCCTGCTTTGCCGGGCTGCGATCGTCGAGCGTTCCAATGTCGCCGGCCATCTCCGACGCCTCTGTGGATGTCGCGCGGCCGTCCACCTCGGGAGGCTGCTCCGGCGCGCCCAGCCCCTCTTCGACGTCGTGCGCCGATCCGAGAGAGGACATGTGGCGGGTTCCATTGAAGCAGAGCGTGAGGCTCTTGAAGCGCTCCAGGTAGCGCTCTCGCTCACGCTGAACGTGCTCGAGCTGCTCTTGAGCCTCGATGATTTGCGCGTCGAGCTCCTTCGCACGGGCCTGCACGGGCACCAGCGCGGCGCAGACGTCGCGGTCGACCTTGGCGAAGAGGCGGTTCATGCCGGCCACCGCCTCGTCCCGGGCCGCCGCGATGGCGCCGTTTTCGATCTGCATCTTTCTCTTTAACTCCTGGCTATCACTGCGGCGCAGCACGGCGGCGCTTCTTAAAAAAAAACTAATCAGCCGGACGTGCGGTTGCTGACTGCACTCCAAGTGCTCCAAGTGCTTCCGACACCTGGAGAATTCAAACCTCTCAATCTCTCGCCCCCGCGCAAAGGCTCGCGGTGCGCAAGCCTCTCTGCGATGATCCATGTCGCAACGGCGGAGCCTAGGTAGCGGCGAGCCTCGTTGCTGTGTGTGTGGACTTTGCTGAGAAATCGCGGAGCGCCCTCGGGGGCGCGTCACTGACAATAGAAGAGAAGAACTCTCTCTCTGACGATCCATCTTGCGCCGATCCTGTCCAGAACGTGCCTCGAGGCGCGCGCATCACGGAGGGTCGGCAAAGTCGCCGTCGTCCTGCTCGCCGTCGTCTCCCGGCGCCAGCATTGCGTCATCGAACTGCGCGCCGAAGAGCTCGCTCGCCCTCTCTCGCAGCAGCGGCTCGTAGAGGGAGATCCTCTCCGCGACCCGCAGCTTGACGAGCGCCGACGCAGGGTCGGGCACGTGCGAGATCACGAAGCTCCAGAAGACGCGTGCCGCAAGCCCACACATCTCATCGGTGCTTCCGGCGCCGTTCCTCGCACGCTCCACCAGCATCGCCACTGCGTCCGGGTCGCAGAGCGATGGCGGCAGCTCTGCGTCGGGCTCGCCCGTGAAGAGGGCGACGACACGGAACGCGACACGCCGTGTCTCGCGGTCGCGGTCCCGCGCCTGAGGGTAAGGTGCAGCTTCTCCATTATGAGAGGATTACGCTATGGGCCCATCCCTCTCGCATCATCTCTCCCGCGCCTTGACGAGCGCCATCTTGAGCACCTCCTCGGGAGGGAGGTGGGGAGCGACGGCGAGCAGCAGCCGCGTCGCGGCGAGGCGAACCTTGCCGACTGCGTCGTACATGCAGGCGCCCACCGCGGCGTTCATCACCGACCCTCCGAGCGCGGCGAGGGCCTTCCTCCAGCCACCCTGCTGCTGCGCGTCTTGCTCGCCCTCGGGAGCCGCCGCCGCCGCGAACTCCTCCCAGAGCGCGTGCAGCAGCCGGATGGAGCCGAGCCGGGAAGAGCTGTCGAACTCCTCCTCGAGCCGCTGCCTCGCGGCCGCGCAGACTGGCTGCGAGACCTCCTGAAGCCGCCACGCCATCTCGACGCGGCTGCTTTCAGAGGCGCCGGAGGGAATTGTGGCCATGCGCACCATCTTGGGGACCAGCCGGGCCTCGCCGCCGCTCGCCGAGCCTCGCCGCGTCAGCTCGGCCGCACACGAGAGGAGCGTCGCGCGGAGGCTCGCCCCGCCATGCGCGTCCGGGCCGGCGTGCACGGGAGGAGAAAGGGCAGCGCCCAAGAGCCTCTCGATGCCGGCACGCTGCAGACGCTGCTCGACGGAGAGCGACTCCTCAAGGCAGAGGGCCGCGAAGCCAGCGAGGAAGGAGCCGAGCGCCGAGCGAAGGCCAGAGTTGAAGCCTGCGCCGCCGTCAGAGTTGCAGGCGAGTCGCGCGAGGGCACTGACCGCTACGCCGAGGGTCGCCTCGTCCGCCCGCTCGTACGCGCGCTGCCAGCCCTCGAGGACGGCCTTTGCGGCGATGAAGTCGGGCGGAGGGTGGGAATCGGGGAGGAGAGGGACATCGTTTTTTTTTCACAGACCATGTTTTTGACAAAAATACGTCCATGGCGCTTTGCGCTGGTCTATGAGAGGTTGAGGTGCGAGCCCTGGAGGCCCTGGGGATGGGGGAGACTACCCGCGGGCCTAGAAGGCCCGCGCGCAGGGGGGTGGGACATTGAGATTGAAGGCGGAGGTGGAGGCGGCGGAGGCTCGGCGAGCACGGCTGGGAGCGGCAGAGGATTCAGGATCGGTGCAAGCACTGATCTGAGAAGAGGGGTGGCTTTGGTTGGTCACGATCGGGACGGATGACACGTCTGATGCAGACATGCGATTCACATAAACGCACAACCCCAGGCCCCGAAATCGCACAGTGACAGTCTCAGTCAGACATGCAACACGGGGTCCCAGGGTGCAGGGAAGGCAAGAGCAAAAACCTTACGCTGTTCACGCTCCTGCCAGCGATCCCCGATCCGGAGAAGTGCTGCACAACAACAGAGTACATCGTCTCAAGGACGATGTGGCCAAGCGCTGGTAGCGTGGCTTCACCTCACACCGCCTAGTCTCACTGCTTTCCCGCCACCCGCAGTCGCCAAGCATCAAGCGCGGAGTGTTGTGCGTGTTCGCCACACTGTCACTGATATCATACCGCTATAACTTTACACGGCGTACCACTACTCTAGCCAGCGGCCAGCACGGGTGACTGAGAGCTCTCCCCAGCACGCAGCAGGGCCACGTGTGCAGTGAGCTGTGAGGGCGAGTTTCCGTGTCCACATCGGTCGACGTAGTACTGTAAACTAGCTACGAGCCACCAGCGCCACGCCCCTCGTCCCGTGGCCTCCCACGCCCACCCCGCCCACCCCGCCCACCCCGCCCACCCCGCCCACCCCGCCCGCCCCGCCCACCGCGTCCCCCTCGCCCACCGACCGCCTCCGTGCCGCCCACGGGCTGAGCCTGGGGCACGGTGCGCGAGGGCGGCTGGTGGACAAACGTCGCCTGCTCCGCCACCAGCCGCCCAGTTGCGGCGATGGGCAGCGCCGGCTGGCGGCAGGCCGGGCAGTTGCTGTCGCGCTCCAGCACGCGCGGCGCACACGTCTCGCAGTACAGCGCGTGGCCGCACGCGAAGCGGACCGAGCGCGGCGCGTCGTAGCAGAGGTCACACAAGCGCTCCTCGGCCCCAGCCGTCTCCTCCACCTCCCCCGCCGCTTCGACTAGCGCCTCCAGCCGCGGCAGCGCCTCTGCGAGCGGCATCCGCTTTCTCTTCCGCTCGTATGCCAGCCCAACCACGAGCCGCATCAGCTCCGCGGCCTGCGCCGCCGACCAGCCCGCGTCGGCCGCCGCGATGCTCTCCGCCGTGTCGGGCTCCTCAAGCGCATCGTCGCACGCGTTGAGCAAGCCGAGAGCGCCGCGGCCGGTCAGGGCGACGAGCAGCGTGATGCCGAGCGCAAAGCCATCGGTGAGCTGCGAAGCCTGACCGTCGTGCGTTATGATCGAGTCCATGTAGCCAGGCTTGCCAAAGATACGCTGCGTCGACAGGTGCGAGACCTGCTGGCTGCCGCTGGCCGTCGCCTCTGCCGCGCGCGCGAGGCCCACGTCGGCGAGGTAGCCGTTGCCGCGCTCGTCGAGCAGGATGTTGCCCGCCGAGACGTCGCGGTGCAGGATCATGGGCGAGAGCGTGTGCAAGTAGTGCAGCGCTCTCGCGGCGTCGCGCAGCACGCGGAGCCGTGCGGCGGAGGAGAGCGGCGGAGGCGTCTCGAAGCCGAGCATGCGGAGCCGCTGCAGTGCGGCTGGAGCGCGGTAGAGGCGGTCCTCGAGGCTGCCGCCGCGGCAGAGGGGGTAGACGAGGCACGCTCTCGCCGGCGCCAAGCAGACGCCGAGCAGAGGGAGCAGGGACCGGTGGCACGCCGCGCTGAGCGTGCGCACCTCGCTCTGCAGCTCGGCGAGGCCTTGGGCGCCGACACCGACCAGCGCCGTCTTGACGGCGAACCCGCAAGCGACGCGCGGAAGCGACGGCAGCGCGTCGCAACGGTAGACACGTCCGAAGCCTCCCTCGCCCACCTTGCGCGCCTCGGCAAAGCCGTCGGTCGCCGCGGTGAGCTCGTCGAGAGGGACGGCGGCGGGCGGCGCGGCGGCGGCGGCGATGGCGGCGACACTCGCCGCCGCCGCCGCTGCCGCCGCTGCCGCTGCCGCTGCCGCCGCCTCTTGAGCCTCCGCCGCCGCCACGGCCACCACTGCCGCCTCTACAGCCGCCGCCTCCGCCGCTGCCTCCGCCGCCGCCACCTCCGCCGCCTCCGCCCTCATCCTCGCCTCCTCCCTCTCCCTTGCCGCCTCCTCCCTTGCCCTCGCCTCTGCCTCCTCCCTTGCGCGCGACGCCGCCTCCGCCTCCTCCGCCGCCCGCGCCGCCGCAGCCTCTGCTACCACCCGATCCGCTTCCTCCGCCACTCGCGCCGCCGCAGCCGCCCGCGCCTCCTCCGCCTGCTCCGCCGCCCGCTCCGCCGCCCGCGCTGCCGCCGCCGCCGCCTTCTCCTTCTTCTGCCGCTGCCGCTTCAGCGCCCTGGCCTCGCGGACCTTTCGCTCCGCCAGCTCGTCGCGCAGCCGCCGCGCCGCCCGCAACGCCTCCGAGCCGTCGGCGGCTTCGGTGTTTGCGTTGATCGCCGCCCTGAGCGCCTCGAGATCGGCGTCGCCTCGCTCGCACGCCTCAACCGCCTCGCGCAGCGCCGCCTCGGCAGCATTGCGCGGCTCCGCCGCCTCCGCAGCCGCTGCCGCCTCGCGTGCGGCCGCCGCGGCCTGTTCGGCTGATTCTGCGACCGCCGCCTCCCCCTCAGCCTCTGCTGCGGTCGACGAGTGCTCCTCGAGGGTGCGCACGCACTCGGCGTTGCCCTGCCCCTTGGCCACCTGCAGGGCCGTCTTGCCGTCAACAATGCGCGCCGCAGCATCTGCGCCCGCCCGCAGCAAGCGCCGCACGACGGCGGGGCGGTTGAAGAGGGCGGCGAGCATCAGCGCGGTGTCGCCGTCGCTGTTCTGCAGGTTGATCTCCGCGCCGTGCCGCAGCAGCAGCTCCACCACCCGCTCGTGGCCATTGCGGGCGGCGCTCATCAGCGTGGTGCCGCCGTTGCTGCCCTGCTTGTTGATCTCAGCGCCGTGCTGCAGCAGCAACTCGACCACCCGCTCGTGGCCGCTGCAGGCGGCGAGCATCAGCGCGGTGAAGCCGTTGCTACTCTGCAGGTTGACCTCAGCGCCGTGCCGTAGCAGCAGCTCGACCACCCGCTCGTGGCCGTTGTTGGCGGCGCCCATCAGCAGCGTGAGGCCGCTCACGCCTCGTCTCTCGTACGTCGCGTTGACCCGCCCGCCACTGTCGAGCCACGCCAGCACCGCCTCCTCCTCGCCTCGCGCAGCCGCTGCCACGATCGCATCGGAGACTGCCACGACACCGCTCGACGCCCGCCCCGCCGCCGCCGCTGGAGATAGCGTCCTCGCGACTCTCGATCCAGCCGAAGAAGCGCCGCCGGGGGGAACGCCGCCTGCGCCTTCGCCGCCGGCTGCCGTCGCCGTGGGCCGTCCCGCCACGACCGACTCCTGGACGTGCTTCTTGAAGGCCTCGACGCACTCGGCGTGGCCCTTCGCCTTGGCCATCTGCAGCGCCGTCTTGCCGCTCGCATTGCGCGCTGCCGTGTCTGCGCCCGCCCGCAGCAAGCGCCGCACGACGGCCGGGCGGTCGAAGGCGGCGGCGCCGATCAGCGCGGTAAAGCCGTTGCTACTCTGCAGGTTGATCTCAGCGCCGTGCTGAATCAGCAAGTCGACCAACCGCTCGTGGCCGCTGCGGGCGGCGAGCATCAGCGCGGTGGCGCCGTTGCTGCTCTGCAGGTTGATCTCCGCGCCGTGCTGCAGCAACAGCTCGACCACCCACTCGTGGCCTTCCTGGGCGGCGGCCGGCAGCGCGGTGCCACCGAAGCTGTTCTGCAGGTTGACCTTCGCCCCGTGCCGTATCAGCAGCTCGACCACCCGCTCGTGGCCGTTGCTGGCGGCGCCCATCAGCAACGTGATGCCTCTCACGTCACCTCTCTCGTACGTCGCGTCGGCCCGCCCGCCGCCCTCAAGCCACGCCAGCACCGCCTTCTCCTCGCCACGCTCCGCTGCTGCGATGAACTCGTCCGGGGCTGCCGCGGCACCGCTCGACGCCCGCTCCACCGCAGCCGGCGACAGATTACCGGGCCGCACCCGCACGCTCTCGCCGCCGCCCTCGAGCGCCACAGCGTACCGCCCGCCCTCGAAGCTCCGCGCCACGCCCCGCTGCCCGTTGAGCTCGGGGCGGGAAGAGAGGCCGCCGAGCACGACGCGCTGCCCGAGCAGCGGCGCCCCGGCAGGATCGCCGCCGCTGGGCTTGCAAGCTCCAGGCATATTGGGCCCTCAATTTCTGTTAGTGCCAGTGCGCGCCAGTCCCGTGCCCAGTGTTTTTTAAAAAGAAAGAAGAAAACAGCGAAGCCAAGGGAGGGGCGAGCCTGTCGTGTCCCTTGTCAGGAGCAGGAGAGCCCCACCTGTCCCCCTGATCGTTCTTCCAAAATCCTGCTCGTGCAGGTGGGACCCTGTCCTCGTCCCATCCCTCGTTTGGCGTGTCTGTTTTCTTTCTTTCTTTAGGGGTGGGCCCAGTGTTGTGCGAGGGAGTTTTGTTGTAAGATTCTTTTTCTCCAGCGTTGTAAAATTCTTCTTTCTCCCTTCTCTGTAGTTGCGAGGAGCGATCAAAGGGGGAATGTTGCCGTAGAGCAGAGCAACTGGCTGCTGCACCTGGAGCACCGGCGAACGAAGCCCGCAGCGCGAACTCGCGGAGCCTAGCGCAGCGCGAACTCGCCGTCTGAGCCTAGCGCGGCGCGAACTCGCCGTCTGAGCCTAGCGCAGCGCGAACTCGCTCCTGTTCATAGCTGCGCAACCCTAGCCACGCTCTATTTTTTTTTTCTGCGCGACTCACTAGCCGCCGCCACTCCCGACGCCGCTTGGATGTCCCAGCCTCGCTGGGCGGCCGCCCAAGCTCCACCACCATGGGCGCTCAATGCCTCCCGCTCGGCAGTAATCTTCTTGACGGGCCTCGGTGGGAGCACGCTCCCCCTGTGTCTCGGAACCGGGCAGTCATCGGCACTCGAGCTTGGCGTGGCGTTCAGCGGCGGTGTGTTCATAGCGGCGGGCTTCTGCCACCTGCTCCCGGATGCGACTGAGGCTCTCTCCGACGCAATGGGGATAGACTACCCCGTGGCGCCGCTGCTGTGCAGCCTGGGCATGCTGGCGATGCTGATCATCGACCAGCTGACCACGCGAGCGATTGCGAAGCGGGGCACCGCCCCGGCGCCGGTAAGGCTCTCCGACGAAGACGAGGCCGAGCCCGCCGACCACGCGCCAGGCGAGGAGGTGGTGCCGCTCCTCAGCTCCGGGCTGATCCCGTCGATCATCCTCTTCAGCGCGCTCTCCTTCCACTCGCTGATGGCCGGGCTGTCGCTGGGCGTGAGCGATCAGACGGCGTGGGCCATCTTCATCAGCATCCTCGCCCACAAGGCCTTCGCGGCCTTTGCCCTGGGCGCCAGCTTCGTGAGGCATCTGGCCGTGTCTAGACGCACGATTGCCTGCTGGATGCTCGCCTTCTCCGTCACGACGCCGACAGGAGTGATGCTTGGGACTGCGCTCACAACGGTGCGCGCGCGTGGTGCCTCGAACGGCTCGCGCTATACAACGGCTCAGCCGCCTCCCACCTCCCTCGCAGGTGGCGGACAATGCGCTCACCGGGGCGCTAACCGCCGTCGCCGCCGGCACCTTTCTGCACGTCGGCCTGATAGAGGTGGCGCAGCGCGAGCTCGCCAAGGCGGAGCACGTGTGTGGCAGCATGCTGATGCTCCTTCTGGGCTTCTCGTTGATGGCGCTGCTGGCGCTGTGGGTATGACTGCATGTAGGAGGGTTGTCTTTTTTTTTGTCGGCTTCGTTTTCTTCGGCGCGCATTTCTTCTTCTTCCCCGCCTCCACACACTGCAACTGTCGCGGGGCCGGGCCGAAGATTGGCGCTTGCCCCAGGCGGCAAGATGACGTCTCGCATCCCCGCGCCGCCGCCACGCAAGCCCTCCTCTCCGGACGATGCCGCACGGCGCCTCCGCCCGAGCACGCCGCGCCGCCTCATCCGAGCGGTGACCAAACCCGAGGCAGCTGAAGCCACCAGTCGCACGCCGCCCTGGCTCAAGGAGGCCGAGACTCTGCTGCGCCGCCCGACAGAAGGATCTGACGAGCACCTTGAGGATGAGACGGCAGACTTGGGCCGAGTGTCGCGGTTCAAGGACGCGCTCGCGTCAGCCCAACAGCGCGAGGGCGTCGAGCACACGACTCGGCACAAGCCAGCGAGGCGCAAGCTCGAGCCCGGGCAATCATCTGTGCGTTTCTCTCCCGTCCCACCGCCGTCTCTGTCCCCGGCGGCTAGCCCGCAAACGACATCACCGACACCGTCGTTGCCACCGGAACCGGAGCCGCAGCAGCAGGATCGGCCGCAGGAGCAGCCGCAGGAGCCGCCGCCGCCGCCGCCGCCGCCGTCGAGACCGCCGCCGCAGCCCTCCTTCGCGAGCAAGGGAGTCTGCGTCGCCGTCCTGCTGACAGCCTCTGTGATGTGGTGCAGCTGGCGCCCGGCCTCCATCTCTCCGCCGCTGCCGCCGCCGTCGGCTGCCTCTGCTTGGCCGGCGGCACCGGCAGCGCCGGCGGAGCGCGCCTCGCCTTTCCACTGGCTCTGGCGCGGCCGGCTGCCCGCCCCGAGGTGGCCGCCGTGGCCACCTCCTCCGTCGCCCGCCCAGCGCGACCGCCTGCAGCGGTGCGCCTCGGCGCAGAGAGAGGGCAGCCCACCCCTGCCCGTGCCGACCCCCGCTCTCTGCCCCCCTGCCCCCTCGCAGAGACATGCTCGGCGGGATTGCGGACGCGGCACCGCGGCTCGAGGCGGACTTGGACGTCGCGCTGCAGATCGCGATGGCTCGGCCTCGCGTCACTGGTCCGCGGCGGCGCGAGGCGCGCTGGTCTGGCTGGCTCTCGGCGCTGCGGGGCGTGCTGCGCCGCTACGGCTGGTCGCGTGTGCGGGGCGGGTGGGACGCGCTCGACAAGTGGCTGCTGACAAGGGCGCAGGAGCGCGCGCGCAGGGCCACGCCGTCGGTCGAGACGCAGTGCGAGTAGCCTCGTGGTCCTCGCCCCTCGTCGCCCCCCCCCCCCCCTGAGTCCACGCGTTAGAGAGCCCTTGCCTAGAGAAAAGAGTTTTACAACACAACTCCCTCGCACGCACACACTAGGCACGGGTATTTTTCAAAAGTACAAAAGAAGAATTCACGGTTTTCGGCGGCGGCGGCGCAGAGTCCGGCGCGAGCTGGGATATTGAGTCTGTATCGATCCGTGTTTGTGTGAAACCACGTCGTTGCCGCTGCAGAGGGAGCGAATGAGTTCGGATGCGCTGCTATTCGGGGTGCTGACGCACCATGGGCTGCCATACTGGACGCTCGCCATGATCTCGGGCTTTGCGCACACCATCTACACGCTGATCGTCCTCTTCATTGTCTTCGGGCTGGTCGAGCGGCTCGGCTTCTGCGGCATCTCGGTATGGCGCTCCCTGTGCGGCTCCGTGGCGGAGCATGAGAGCTCGCTGCTGCCGCTCCCGGTTCCGACTCCGACTGTGTGCGTGCAGCTTCCGATGTACAACGAGCGTGCGGTGGCGGCCCGCTCAATCGGCGCCGCGTGCAGCCTGCGCTGGCCGCGAGAGGCGTTCGAGGTGCAGGTGCTCGACGACTCTACGGATCGGCTGGTCGCCGCGCTGGTCGACGAGACGGCGGCGGCGTGGCGTGCGCGCGGCGTGCGCTGCTCCGTCATCCGGCGCGAGAGGCGGGACGGGTACAAGGCTGGCGCGCTCGAGCTAGGACGGAAGCGGACGAGCGCCGAGTTTCTGGCGATGTTCGACGCCGACTTCGTGCCGGACGACGACTTTCTCCACCGCACCGTCCCTCGCTTCTACTCGCGCGCTGGCGAGCCGCTCGGCGACCTTGCGCTGGTGCAGGGCCAGTGGGCGCACCTCAACGCGCTAGACTCGCTGCTCACGCTCTCGCAGTCCCTCTCGCTGGACGACCACCACGCGCGCCGCCGGGAAAGCGCCGCCCGTCGCGCGACGCCGCTCCCCCCCCCCCAAGCGGCCCTCTCCCCCGCCGTAGGCTGCTCAAATGGTGTGGCGCTCGGCCATTGTCGGCGAGCCGTCCGCCGCTCACGCCCGCGGCGCGGCGAGAGAGAGAGAGAGCCTCCGCAGCAGCCTCCCGGAACCGCCCCTAGGCTTCGTCAACTTCACGGGCACCGCCGGCGTGTGGCGCGCTTCCGCCATCGAGGCGGCGGGCGGCTGGCGCGCCGCGAGCTTGGCGCGCGGCCCTCTCCCGCCCGCCCGCCCGCCCGGCAGCAGAGAGGCAAGAGAGGCGGCAGAGAGAGGGAGAGAGAGAGGGGGCAGGGAGAGGGAGAGAGAGAGGCGGCAGAGAGAGAGAGGGAGGAAGAAGGAGAGAAACAGAGAGAGGGGGGGGGGGGGAGGCGGGAGGCAGCCCACCCGGCCCACGGAGCAGGTGGAGGATTGCGAGCTCTCCTTCCGCATCCTGTTTGCCGGCTACCGCACCGCCTTCGCCGAGGTGCCCGTGCCGGCCGAGTTGCCCGCGACTGTCGAGGCGTACCGCGCGCAGCAGCGCCGGTGGACGTTCGGGTGGGCGCAGCTGATCCGGCTGCACGGCAGGCAGCTGATCTGCGGCTACCGCTGCGCCGCGCTGAAGAAGGCGCGCAGCCCGCCTTAGACCGCCTTCCTCCTGGCGGCCGGGCCCGCGCCTCTCCTTCTCCTCTCCGCGGAGCCCTCCGTCCCTCGGACCCCCCTCCCTGCAGGCGCACCTTGTCTACCACATGTGCCTCTCCGCCCAGTGGCCTCTCTGGATGTCCTGGCAGATCGCCGCGCCCTGGCTCGAGTACCTCGGCCTCTTCGTCGCCGCGCCGGACGAGTTTTACCCGGCGCTCGTCTACCTCGCGCCCGTGATGATCCACATGGCCGCCTCGACCCTCATCGCGTGCGTCGCGCTCGGCCGCCGCTACTCGGAGCCGCTCCGCCGCCGCTCGCCCGCCGGCGCATTCCTGCTCGCGCCCCTCCTCCTCCTGCGGGTCGTACCGGCGGCGGTCGTCGCCGCCGGCATGCTCCCGCACCAGTGCTGCGCGTGGGTGGGAGGCATCCTCACTCCAGGCGAGGCCGAGTTCCAAACCACGCCTAAGAGCGGATCGGTCGGGGAGGCCGCCACCGCGGAAAGCAGCAGCGCCGCCGCGGCCGTCGCCGCCGCCGCCGCCGCGGCCGCCGCCTCCGCTGCTAGCGCCGCCGAGGAGGCCGGTGTAGCGGAGACCAGCCCGAGCCCGCCAAAGGCCGCGAGGCCGGCCGTGCTGTCGTGGTGCGGCGCCGTCGAGCTCGGCTTCGTCGCGTACCATTTGGTCTGGAGCGGCGTTTTTGCGTACGGCGGCCGGGTCTCCGCCGCGTGCCGGATCGCCTTCCCGCCCGGCGCGGTGCTTCTCCTCTGGAGCGGCGGCGAGGGGCCTCGGCGACTTGCGGACGCGTGTGCCGCGGCGTTGGCGCCCCTGCGCTGCTGCCAGCGGCAGCGGCGGCCCTCCCGCGTCTCGCCCCTCGCGGTCGGCGAGACGCCGCTCGCCAAGCGGCTCGGAGAGCCGCTCCTCGGCGCGCCGCTCCTCGGCCGGCCACTCATCGAGCAGGAGGCACTGGACGCGATACCGTCGGCGTCAGGGTACGTCAGCGTGGGGGGGTCGCTGAATGGGTTCGCCAGCGCCGCCGCCGGGCGCATCGTCGAGCCCGCGGCCTGAGAGGGCTGCGCGGCCGCCAGGCGAGCCGCGATCGGCACGTTTGTTCCGGTCCTTGCAAGCAGCGCAGCGCGCGAGACCACAGTGTGCAGAGCTCTGCACACCGTGTATGTGCCCTCTTCTTGGGCTCTCGATGCGCGCATCTCCACACGTCGTTGCTGAATCCTGGGCCACACACACCGTCGCGACGACGTGTGAGGGGGGTCGAGGCATATATGCATTAGTGAAGGAAGGAGAGTGGTTCGTCGTCTTATTTGTCATGTGTGTTTTATTTATGTCGTCGCGGAGAGGATGTTCGTGTTCTTTTTTGTCAACCTCACTCACCCGTCGGCGGCGTCTGGATCGCGCACAACCTCCACAACCGACACATCGGCGTCCCACGACCGGAAGCTGCCTCGCACATGGCAGCGCGGCCTCCTCGACCACAAGCCCTCCAGCCGCAGCCCGTGCTCCCGGGCCGCAGCCGCGAACGCCTCGAGGAGCTCGTCGTCGACGTCCCACCGCGGCAGCGTCGCATCGAAGGGCGCCTCTCTGCTGCGGTGCTCGTGCGCGACGATGGCGCGGGGTTTCGGCGGCTGGTCGAGCAGCTCTCGCAGCGTGCGGGCGAGCGCCGCATTCGCCGCGCCGTCTGCGTGGCGGTACCAAACATCCGAGGCGATGATCAGGTCCGCGTCTCGCGGAAGGGGCGAGTGCTCCTCCCAGCGGAGGCGGCGAGCCTCTACGCTGCTGCCGGCGCGAAAGAGGTGGCGATTACGGAGGATGTTCGCTCTCGCGAGGCTGATCAGCTTCACCGGCCCGCCATCGGTCAGCTGCACGGACGCCGCCCCAAGGGCCGCCGCGTACAGTCCGCAGGCGCCTGTGCCGCTCCCGAGCTCGAGGATGCGGGAGCCGCACACCTCAGCGGAATGGTTTCCGAGCCATTCGCACAGCGCCGAGGCAGCTGGCCAGACCTCGCCACCGACACCGCAAGCGCCGGCGTCGTCACGCTCGTGGAGCGCTACGTACTCGCGAAGCTTGGACCACATCATGGTGTCGTGCGATTCGCCGGCCACCGCCGAGCTGCTGCTTCCCGGCACCTTTGGCCTCGACTCACCGAGCACCAATCGGGCTCCGGATGGGAGAGGAGGGAGAGCGACGTCCTCGAACCCGTAGACGTCATGCCGGCTGCTCGACGCACCCGATGCTGTGTGCATGCTCGCGCGCAGCCCGAGGAGCATCATGTGTGTATCTTGGTTTCCAGCGGCCGGGCGGCCGGCCCTTTTCTTTTTTGGGGGGAAGAAGAAAAAGATCGTACCCTGTCTCTCTTCCTTTCCTTTTTTCTCTACAGCACCCTCTCTTTTCCCCTCTATTTTCCTGGAAATCAAATTTTCCGGGCTCTGAGCCGAGTCTGAGGCTGGTTTGGGCCCAAAATCAGCCAAATCGGCAAAATACCGGGTATTTTGCGGGTATACCTGCGGGAAAACCCGGGTATACCTGGAACTGAGTGAGGGGAGGGTGTAGAGGATGTAGAGTGTAGAGCGCTGTAGAGATGTAGAGATGTAGAGCGCTCTGGAGCGCTGTAGAGCTGTAGAGCTCTACATCCGCCGCGGGACGAAGCGCCTGCGTTGTAGAGCAATGTAGAGCGCGATTTTGCTGTAGAGTTTGTTGTAGAGGCTCTACAGCAAAACCGCCGGGAAGGCAGTGACTCAAAGAGGTCGAGTCGCTCTAATGGGGTGTCTCCGAGCTTACTGGAGCTCTGATGGACGGCCCTGACTATCCCTGACACACAGAGAGTCACTCTGACGGCACACAACACCCTATAACTGCGTCATGACCAGCCTGCCATGCGTCGCAGGTGCCGCATTCGTCGCAGTGCTCCTTTAGCAGGCGGTGGACTGTCGGCTGCGAGGACGGTCGCATTTGCGCGAGGCGAGGCGAGCATTCAGACGCGTTGCATGCGCCATGACTCGCGCCAGCGCGTGCGGGAGCTCCTGGCTGAGCGTTGAGTCCAGGCGAGTTGCGCTGGCCACTATCGCTACGCCGAGCCGAGCTGACGCGCCGAGGCGCCGGCCAGTCGCAGCCGTGAGGCATGCCACAGCAGCAGAGGCACCTGCCACCCATTGGGCGGGGCAGACGGAAGGCCAGGGCAGCACTGGCAAGTGCAACGCGCCTCATGTCGGAGAGCGACCGTGCCTCGTTCGCCGCTTATGATGTAGAGTTTGTTGTAGAGATTTCACGTTGTAGAGCGCCTCTACATCGCTCTACAACGCAGGCGCTTCGTCCCGCGGCGAATGTAGAGCTCTACAGCTCTACAGCGCTCTACAGCTCTACAGCTCTACAGCGCTCTACACTCTACATCCTCTACACCCTCCCTCAGTGACCTGGAAAAAGCCCGGGATGTTGCCGGTTTCCTCGATTTTGCCTCAGGTTTTGCCCCAGACCAGCTCTCAGACTCAGGGAAACTCGCGAGTTTCCAGAATGGAGCACCAAACACCCTCTGTTTTCTCTGGAAATTTCCGCACCAGGCGGTGC